CAAGTAGAGTAAAAGAATAGGAGTCCCTAACCTACCTATGTAACTAAATTACCTTATGCCCTAGCCTACCTATATAATAAATTAATTTTTACCTCACCTACCTATGCTTCATTAACTTAACTCAAGACTCATGAAGAAAGAGAAAAAGGAGTAAAACAGAACATTAAATACTACCACACAAACAAACATGATGTATGTATGTATGTATGAGCAACCGTTAAAGAACCCACCTAAAATTAAAAAAATACCACCTACAAACATTCAAACCACCTACAAACATGCGAACTCTATATAACTCTATATAACACTATATAACTCTATTTAATAAAATAAAAAAAAATAAAAAAAATTTAAAAATAAAATAAATGAGATCAGACAGACTGCTTCAAGCGAGGCAGAATGCTGATCTGATTTTCATGTTGTCTCAGCTCCTCTATTTATACTCGTTTCAACCATACATTCTCATCATTTCAATCATTCGCATCAGTAAAAAACTTGTTTAATGTATATACTGCACTATTATACAGTCTTAACCACAATGCTAACTGTACTAAATTGAAGTCATCGAACGAACGCTTTCGAAACTTTCTGGTTGGCTGGTTGAATCTGCTATATTGCTTTTCATATAAACATATAATCTAATATAATATAATTTAATTATTTGTATACATGAATTCCGGTCACTTTATATATATATAATAAAAATTCATTATAAAAGCAACAGTAATCAGTGCTATATATGTAAGCACGCAGTTCAAATTTTTCGGGGAGAATTCAAAATAGTTTGAGACCACACCTTGCTTAACATCCGATTCCAAGCCAAGCCGAGCCAAGCCAAGCTGAGCCAATATGCATAGATTTATAAGCGCTTTTATGTTAATATTTTGCTCGCTATATTTATATATTTTATAAATTTATTATAAAAAACAACAGTAGCCATTACTATATATGTACGCACGCAGTTCAAATTTTTCGGGGAGAATTCAAAATAGTTTGAGACCACACCTTGCTTGACATCCGATTCCAAGCCGAGCCAAGCCAAGCTGAGCCAATATGCATAGATTTATAAGCGCTTTTATGTTAAAATTTTGCTCGCTATATTTATATATTTTATAAATTCATTATAAAAACAACAGTAATCATTGCTATATATGTACGCACGAAGTTCAAATTTTACGGGGAGAATTCAAAATAGTTTAAGACCACACCTTGCTTAACATCCGATTCCAAGCCGAGCCAAGCCAAGCTGAGCCAATATGCATAGATTTATAAGCGCTTTTATATTAAAATTTAGCTCGCTTTTTAAACGAATATCCCAATATAACAAATTCTCCACCCTATTTTAACTTTCTTTGATGCTTTTTAATCAGTCAGGTCACAAAAATCATTATCGATATCGCAATGAAATCAATTTGAAATTTTTTTTTAATTATTGATAAAATTTTTAAATTGTTGATAAAAGTAACTAGTATATATAGTGTAGTAAAACGTTTAAAATTTTCCGAGAGAATTCAAAATAATTTGAAACTACACCATAACACAATTGTACAATTTGAATGTGTAAATACAACATTATAAATGTATTATAACTACGTGTATATATTTATCTATTTCTTTATTTAGTTCTGCCTGTGTATGATATTTTGTCAAATTTATTTGATAGGAATTGAATATAACCTTTATACCGGCTGATTAACTACCATGCAGTAAAATAACTACTGTAGACACCATTTCCTCCAACGATTTCGCAACGAATTGCCCATACCATATAATTAGAATAAACTCTTTCAATCAATATTTAAATTTTTATATTGTCATTTATTCTTTCGTTTTTGTTTCTGTACTAATTTTCGTATCAGATACAATAATTTAGTTTTTAAGTAAATTTTCATTTTCGTAGTTATACACAAACATGCCTACCTGTTGCATTAAAAATTGCATTAATAATAAATAGAAATGAGAAAATTTCTGATGCATCTTTTCACAGGTTTATTTTCAAATTAACTTCACACTAAAATAAATGTAACAATATCCCTATACTCATTGAATAGAACTATTTTGTTTTACAATTACATATATTTTATTTTACAGACTATTATAATTTATAATGCTATCATGGATTACCATTTTATTATTAAAAGCAATACTTAAGAAATGCACAAGTTTCTGTAACAGTTTATAAAATTTCAGATTTTCTCAAAATGTAAAAATGCAAAACGATTGGATTAAGTGCATCAGACAGGAAATAAATGATTTCAAATGGCTTCCATCAAAAAATGCAAGAATATGCAGTGACCATTTCTGTAATAAAGATTATAAGGGTTATGATGGAGAAAGGAAGGCAATGCTGAAGAAAGCATTCCCATGTTTTCAAGTTAGTTATATTTATATGTCATCAGTTACACAAGAAAGCAGTTCCCTAAATTTCATTCGTGTAGGATGGATGAAATTTAGGGAACTGGGTGGGGTATTGTGTGGAAAGAAATGGTCAGTGAAGATGAAAGGGAGGGTATATAAAGCATGTGTGAGAGCAGCGATGGTATATGGTGGTGAAACTTGGGTGTTGAGGAGAGAGGAGGAAAGTGTACTGCAGAGGGCTGAAAGAGCTATGGTGAGGATGATGTGTGAGGTTAAAGTGAAGGATAGGAGGAGTAGTACAGAGCTGATGTCAATGATGGGACTGAATGAGGACATTGTGACATTGATAAGGAGATCGAGATTGCGGTGGTATGGACATGTGTTGAGAAGGGATGAAAGGGTCGGGATTAGGCGAACGTTGGAGTTCGAGGTTGAAGGAGTGGTAGGAAGGGGTCGTCCGCGATTGGGATAGAGAGAGCAGGTAGAGAAGGACAGGGTGAAAGCGGGGTTGCGTGATACTGAGGCGAGTGACAGATGTGGATGGCGTCGAGGGGTATTTCGGTTTCATCATAGGTAGCCAAACGGCAACCCCCGATCTCGGGAAAAATGTCGTCTAAACGTGTGTTGTTGTTGTTGTTGTTACACAAGGAAGCAATTCACATCATCATTGTACATTGCAACATTCTTATCTATACAAAAAATATAAAATGCATTCAACAATACTCCATGTATTTAATTAAAACTTAGAAAGGGCATAATGACATTGTGAATAATAAACCCTGCTTAGGACTGGGATCATCATCATCATACCAATCACCATTACAAGTAGGGTCAATTTTATATTAATGCTTAACAAGTTAACTAAATTGGCATAATCAAGTTTTTATATGAAATACACATCAAGTATTTAATGTAACAAATAAATTAACAGAAAAATTTCTGAAAAAGTTTAAAAAAATTAGAACATATGACTCTGATCAAAAATCATTCGCGTTGACACTGCATTTGTATGGGCATAAGGCATATGATTATCTTTGGACAAATGGCTTACATCTTCCTCACACTAGGACATTAAGAAAGTAATCTTGTCATACCTGTTCAATAATTTTAATAAGATTGTTTTAAATAACTATTCTCAATGTCATTTTATTAACACTACATTAAAAGGTGGCTATAAAACATTGATGGTATGCCTGGGGTGATTTCTACAAACCTTATTGACTAATGGTGATGGGGATCCTCTGGAACTGTAGGATCATGACATTCAATCTAGTCATGGATTGAGAAATCAATCCTTGATATATTTGATAACAAACATTTATTATAATATAAGAATGAAAAAAAGATGCAGGTGTAAGGCAAAATCTTACTGGAACTATTATTTTTAGCAATTTATGATTTATTTTTTTATTTATGACTATCCATTTTCAATGATACCGATATTTTTAATTATTATTATCCAAATTATACTCATGCCTATATAAATTAATTTGATTGTGGCTATTTCTATGCTTAATTATTTTATTTACTTGCCATAGGTATGCACAGCATTTAATAAATTAATGATAATAATTAATCAATCTTCGTTTTGTGTCCAGAGACCCGGTTTCCCGAGGTATTAATAATTAATAACACAACATTCTAAGTGCATAAAATATAATAAATTAAAAGTACAATTTTTACAAACCTCATTGGTTATGGTGATGGGGATTCTTTAAAACTGAATGATCATGATCTAACAAGTCATGGATTGATGAATCACTGGAATCACACATTATCTTTAATAAATTTAATAACAACATGTACTACAATTTAAAAATAAGGAATATTTTGTAAAACATTAAATGAAAAAAAATTTAGTTTGAATCACTCATAATTAATAAATTTTAATTAAATTGTAAGTTAGCTTGGGGAGTTTGAAGCTTGAATTGAACAAATTACAAAATTGTTTATTTTATAAAATTGATTGATAAGTTGTTTAATATATTTATTTAATTTAGTATATTTTTTATTCCCAGACCTAAGCATTGTAAATAAAAATTTTAAAACCAATCAAGCAATAGAATTTAGGATCTTAGGAACAAGTGCTGTTAGTCGTTAGTGTAGTAGTAGTATGTAGTAGTGTAGTGGTTGGTAGTTTCTAGTAGTCTAATCTGTTAATGTTCGTTAGTGTTATCTGTTATTTATTTCAATTAGTAATTAGAATCAGTAGAGTTTAATTTTAGTTTAATTATTAGAGTTTAGTAATTTAATTACTAATTAGTCGTCGTTTAGTGTTGTTACAGTTTATGAGTTAAGTGTTGTTGGTGGTTCACAAAAAATTTTTTTTATTTAAAATGCAAAAAGATACTTAACCGTCATACAGCAATATCTATCCTAATACAGCATCTAGTATCACCTTTTAAAACATTTTGAAATTTTAAATAAAAGCAATATTCCGAAATTAGTAAATATACGATCGTAACCTTTGACTTGGGCGATAAAAAATCACCCTCCAATTTCCCTCCGAAAATAAGCTTCTTGTTCGACCGTCAAAAATGAGCGAAGGCCGTTTTATTTATTCTAATTATATGCAATAAACTCGTAAAACTTTTTACCTTTTACCTAAGTTTACTTTTAAAAATAAAATTTTAAAAATCGAACCGCAAACATCAAACTTTTGTTGAAAAATAAATAAATATCTCAAGCAGTTACAAACTTTACGTGAAAGTACTTTTGAAATCCACTTTTTAAGCCACTAAAATTAGATTAACGTTTCCAAAATGTCGAAGATGGAAGGTTGTTTTAATTAATTTCCTTTTCAACTTTTTTAACTTAACTAAATAAATACTTTTAAATGTTTTCAACACATATCTCATCTGAAACTGACTCACCTGTGTGGTTTTTTAAATTTTTTTAAATTAAAAATTTTTTAAAAATTAGTTTAAATTGAATTAGTGGCAAATGTTTTATTGAAGTTTTATTGATCGGACTAAAAAAGTGAAAAGAAATTTTTTAGACATTCTTTGGTAAATACTTGAGTAAATACTAGAAACTAGACTAAGTAATTCTTTAAAACTTTATAGTTTAAAGTTGATAAAATAAAATAAAGTAAAGTTAATAGATAGGGTAAATTAAATTAATCTGTAATGAAAATCTTTACTGACATTGATTTAAAAGACATGATGCTGTCCATTATTGTTGAAATTTTTAATCAATTAATCATAATTATTATTTTTTTCTTTTTCAGATTTAGTTTTCAATCTAAAAGTAATTATTTTTTTTTATTGTATATATAATAAAAGAAATAATTTGCCAGCAGTATTTTAAAAAAAATTCAAATATTAATAATTAACTCTTTCAATTGAAAATAATTTTGTTTAAGTCATATAAATATTATAATTAACTAATTATGCCAATGCCAATAAATAATATGTATTGTTTCTTTTTAGTGAATTGTTTTATTGTTATTAAGATTTTTTTTTAAATATCTATTCAGTTTACAGTCAAACAGCTAGAAAGAATGTCCAAAAAGTCTGAGAAAGAACAAAAAGTGCAGGAAGCCAAAATCAAAAAGGTCTGTTTATTGAGAGAATTTAAAAAATTGTGATAAACTTTTTATTCAAATTAACATTAGTTTTGTATTTAATTTATATGTCAAATTTATCCATTATTAATATTTCATTGTTGAAATATTTATGAATAAATAGCATTAAAATAAATAAGTTAATTAAATTCAAATAGACAAAATATAAGACCGCACATAACAGATTTTCCCATCAAAATTAATGTAACAATTATGGTAGAAATTTCAAATAAATTGAATAAGATAAATTAATAAAACAGAAATATCAGTGTAGTAGGTACATTGCTGTAGTGTAATATTTATAAAAACATGTTTAGCTAACAGAATTTCTGCATTAAATAATCAAATTATACAGCTAAAGAATGGTAAATAACTTCTAACAGGTTCTATTGTAGAGAAATTAACTACAACAAACAAATTATAACAAATTTTTTAATGAATAACTTTTAAGTTGAAAGAAATTCTTTGTTTCACTTAATCAGGCATTGCAGACAAAGAATGTAGAAACAGCCCAGGTTTACGCTGAGAATGCGATCAGGAAAAAGAACGAGGGACTGAATTATTTAAGAATGGCTGCCAGAGTCGATGCCGTTACCTCCAAAGTTCAAAGTGCTATGACCATGAAAGATGTATGTTTGTGTGTGTGTTGGTTTGTTTGGTTTAGTTGGTTTGTTTGTATGTTTGTTTGACTATTGTCTATTTTCAATGAAATAAACGATTTTCAGAAAAGCTGTATGTTTGGGTATGTGTTTGGTCTGTTTGTATGTATGTTTGTTTGTATACATATATATGTTGTTTGTTGGTTTGTTTGGTTGGTTTGTATGTTTGTTTGGTTGTATATATGTTGTTTGTTTGTTTTTTTGTATGTTTGTTTGTTTTTGTGTTTGTTCGTTTGTTTGGTTGGTTTGTTTGTTTGTATATATGTTGTTTGTTAGTTTATGTGTTTGTTTGTCTCTATGTTTGTTTGTAAGCTGTATGTCTGTGTTTTTATGTTTGTTCTGTAGTGTTATGTTTGTTATCTTACTTCAGATCGATTAAAGAGATAATTTTTTTTAGATGACCATTTTCAAATCATCCATTCCATTTACTGACCTAAGGTCACCAAGAAGATGGGCGAGGTCACGAAAGGGTTAGACAGAGCACTGGCCTCTATGAATCTAGAACAGGTTAGTTGGTTGTTGATTGTTTGTGAAGGTTGCTGGTCTGTGACCTGTATGCAAAGTTTGAAGGTTGTGAAGTTATATGAAAAGTTTAAATGATTGAAGTGTTAGAGATAATTAATTAGGAATTGTAATTAATTAATTAATTAATTATAAATCGGAAAAGGTCTCGAAAATAATGGAAAAGTTTGAGCAGCAGTTTCAAGATTTGGATGTCAGGACATCAGTGAGTTTGGCTCGTCTCGTCATCTCCTCATCATCATCCTCATCACCATCCTCATCATCCTCATCATCATCCTCTTTAAAAATAATAATCATCCCATTATCATCATCATCATCGTCATCGTCGTCATCGTAGTCCTTATCGTCAAAATCGTCATCATCAACGTCTCCACCCACAGACAGTAGAAGACGCCATGGGGACTGCCACGACTCTGAGCACCCCCCAAGACCAGGTGGAGGCACTAATTAGGCAGGTGGCTGCCGAAAATGACCTCGAGATATCGGAAAAACTGGCCGAGTTACAACCGCACACCTCGACTATCAAGTCTGCAGATAGGGAGAGGGAAGATCAGTTGGAAAAGAGGTTTAGGATGAATTTTTTTAGTATATATTTGTTGTTTTGTTTGTTTATGTGCGTGTGCTAGTAGGCGTTTGTGTGTGTGTGTGGGTGTGTGTGTGTGTGTGTGTTTATTTACGTGTGTTTTTCCATTGACGTTTTAAATAGTTCATGGCAGTTATTAATAATAATTATTATTATAGAAAAATGAAATGATGATAAAAATTAATAGTAGTTATTAATTTTTACATTTTTAAATAAATTTCATAGATTCAACCTTATTTTTACACTCAATCACTCACACACAGACTTGCTGCCTTGCGAAATTGAAGGAATAAACAGTTCACAGCGTCATCGTCATAATTATTATTACTTTTGTTACTATTATCATTATCTTATTATTATTAATTATATTATTAATAATTATTATTTATTTTCAACATCATCTCAGCCATTAATTCTATTGCCAAGTATCCATTGATTTTAATGTCTGCATTGTCTTTTATATGTATATATATATATTACAATTATGGTTATTATTATGATTACTATTTAAGTTGCTTTTTTGATTATTATTATTATTATTATTTGTTTATCGTCACCAGAAAGTTTCGATTTGCCATTAAATACATTATTCGTCTTCGTCGGTTGTATATATTCTGTAAATTTGGGCAAAACAACTATGATATATAGTACGAATATGTATATGTGTGCGTGTTATTAATTTCCTTCCAACTTTTAACTTTTCAAATCATTCATTTGCGATCGAGGCTGGTCACTATGCAACAGCAAGACCAGACGCCTTAACCATCGAGCCATGTTGTAGCCGCTCGTTTGAATGGAGTAACATACTTCTTCCGAATATGGACTATGAATTATTTGTTAATCTGTCTGGCTAGTTCTGATGTAAGAAATATTCGTTTCATAGATGAATTGTCACCTAAAAGTTTAATTTAAAAACTTAAATTACGTTAATTCTAGAATCACTTTTCTAGTTTATAGAATATTTCGTTAATAAGACAGGCTCAATGCTCTCATTTCTTGATTTTTATCTTTTTATTAGGATATAACACCTATTTTCGGTTGATTTATATTTTAATTTATTTAAATTAAAACACGGATTTACACTTGAATAAATCTCTTTTCTTGACGACTTCCATTCAATTGTTACTGCTACAGCCGTGACCGGTACGGGTACCAAAGCCGATGTTGAAAAGTATCACGGATACCGTATCGGAGAAGTATATCGATATCTCGAAGTATTGCCGATATCTCGAAGTAATGCCGATATCGTATCGAGGATACCGATATCTCGAAAAGTATCTCGAATACAGTACCGGTATTAACGTTGCTTCGGTATTAACAATCCTGATAGATGATTTATGAGTAGTGAATTAATGTTTTATCATATCAACTACTACAATATTCGCACTCTACTGTTTCTAACCACATTTCGTCTTTATCGTATCGGAAAGATTACGAAATTCATTCATTTGAATGCGGTATGGGCAGGTGGGCATTGTTAGTCACTTTTACACGTATTCTTTTCATTTGTATTTCACGTACTGATACCATGGATAATAATTGAAATTTTAACACAAAAGCAAATGAAAAAATTAAATAACCGTCTATAGAGTTTTTTTTCTGTAAAAAACGAATTTTCAAAAAAAAAAAAATTTAACCGTGCACAAATAGTAAAGAATAAACGTATAATAAACAAATAATAAACCAAAAAATGACGCAGCCAATCAGGCGCGAGATTTATTCTAGCGTCATTTATCCACCAATCACTGTCATTCAATTCCAAACCAGCCAGCCAATGAGCATTAAGCCAAAATATTTGCATAAACATATGTACAATCAAATTACCTCATTAATAGGATAATCCTATTTAATGTTTTAAGTAACCAGAAAGTGATTAATTAAAGGTTAAAGTTCATTCATACTTCTTTACAGCAATTGTTTCAGAGGTATCAATAAAACACACACACAAAATAACACATTTGTATATATACATGTATATATACATATACAGACATACACACAAAGTAGCACACACACACACACACACAAAATAACACATTTGTATATATACATATATATATACATATACAGACACACACACAAAATAGCACACACAAACACACACACAATCTTATACACAGTGTATAAACAAATATTAGACATTCCAGCTCAAGAAAACACAGTTCATTCATTTAAACAATTAATTAAATTTCCAGAATAATGATAAATCACACACAGCAGGCAGACACAAACAACACACTCTTCTTCTACAAGTTAAATACTTAGCAAAACTTTACATTTACTCAATTAAATACATAATTTACAACTAATTGTATTATACTAATTATAAAAATATAATAAGTTATACCTGTATTTATCAGTTCAATACAGGTAACACACACACACACACGCGCACACATACATATACCACATATGTATGATATAGCATATTTTACACTATAAACACATAAAATATATGCTTACATATGATACAATATCAGTCAAATAGTATCACCGTCTCATTCATTCCTTATTTGTCACCATCACCATCATCATTTATGACGTCATCATCAACATCTCATCATAATAACCACCACACAGTCATCTTCATCATCGTCGTCATCATCATCTTCTAGAGCCCTCTCAAACTGCTCCACCGACCATCCTCATCATTACAGCCAACAAAACGCCATTACAAACACGCCAAAACCACAGCCGTCGTCAGCGTGACGTCATCAATCGTTATTTAAATTTCTTTTTCCCGCCACTTCCGGCGTTGCCCTTATCATCAAAAGCGCTCTCCAGCTGCTTCTCAAAAATCCTGGCGGTATTGCAAAAGCCGAGCTTGGTCTTGTTGAACGAGTTTGGGCCAGACGGTGTTGGTGTGTCCCTGGCATGGAGGTTTTTGGAATAAAATGACATCGACATGAAAATTTAAAATGAAAATGATGATATCAACAACGCTAAAAAAGCATAACAACAACGTCATCTCGACAGTATCTGTAACATCCGCAACAACAACTTCAAACAAGCACATCACTAAACGATGATGAAAGAAAACCACATTATGAACAGTGGCAAGAGACAAGACAACTGAAAATATACTAGGAATGTATTTCCACAACCACAACATTGTCACATCAACTACAACTACAGATCAACAACAACAACAGCAACAATGACAGTAACAAAATCAGCATTATATCAATACAAAAACAACACCAAAACCAACATCAATACATCAACACAACACACAAGGACAAATACATCAACACACAACACAATACAACTAAAGCATCAACAACAACGACATACTTTCCAATATTTCTCATTCTCATCTTGGCCTCTGGGGGCATATCTTCTTCCTCATCTGACTGAAATAAATAATTATAATTAAATTATAATTATAATTAAAAAAGTTAAAATTAGACATAACTATTAATAATTATAAGACAATTATGAATAGCCGACCAACCAACCAGCTAACAAACCAACAAACAAGCCAACCAATCAACCAGCTAGCCAACCAACCAACCATTTATCCAACCAACCAACCATTCATCCAGCCAACCAACCAATCATTTATTCAACCAACCAACCTACCAACCAGCCATCTAACCTCATCATCCCCATTAAAAACTTCCGCCACTGTTTTCTTCTCAGCTGGTCGTTTAGTTGCTGTTAATTTGCTCGCCTGTTTAGTGTTGTTAAATTAGAATTGTTAAAAATTAGGAAAGGCTAAGAGACTGAGAGAGGGAGGAGAGAGGGAGGAGAGAGGAAGAGAGATGGAGAAAGGGAAAGAGGGAAGTAAATACGGAGAAAAACATGGAAAAGAGAGGAGTGTAACGAAACAAAGAATGAACAAAATTGCTTATACATTAAAAAATAATTGAGAAGAGTTAGAAAATATCTGAACCAAATTATCATTAATGACAAAAAGAACCAAAATAAATATATATAGATTACAAATTTATAAAAACACACAAAGATATAATAATAAACGAACTGTAGTTGACAGATTCATTTTAATCATCATCGACTTGTTTGGCCGCTTCAGCAGTCCGTTCGACTTTCCATCCGCATCCTGTTCTGTCTGGGGTGACATTTTCGACGGAAGTAAAAACGGCTTTGACGATTTTGCCACCGGCATTTTCATTGTTGGTGATGATGATAATGATGATGTTGGTGGTGCTGGTAATGCTGTTGGTGGTGGTGGTAATGATGTTGGAGGTGGCGGTAATGATGTTGGAGGTGGTGGTAATGATGTTGGAGGTGGGGGCAGTGACGACGGAGGAGGCGGAAGTGATGATGGTGGTCGCGGTAACAGTGGAGTCTTTTGTAAAGATGGTGACGAAGATTTATCAACCAATCCCATCCCAGGTGCACGGCCTGGCATGGTCATGATGGGGTAGGCCGTCGTAGATGTCTGCTGGATGTGAGAAGATTGATCCCCTAAATTTTTGGTCTGTTGCTGCTGAAGTTGGGGCATGACCATGGAAGGAGCCCTGAACGCCATCTGTCCTGGGTACACCGTAGAATATCGCTGCAATCCGGGATAGTTGGTTCGCGGTTGAGGCTGCGGCGGAAGAGATAGTAGAGGCTTTTTCGACGTACCACCAGAGTTGGTGTTGCTTGGAGAATCTTGTTGGGACATTTTGCAACAGAGACAACAGTGTGAAGAAATAAAAAACTATTCGGAACAAAAAATTAAAATTTTAATGTAAAAATTAAAAAGATAATTTATTATCGATGAATTATTTTTCAAATTGAGCAAGTTTTAAAGCGGCGAATCGTTCAATTGCTTCAAAAGAAAACAAGGTAACTGCTAAAAGCCATTGAAAACCTTTTATCGGCCATCGAAGCATAGAATGTATGACAGCGTAGCATAGTTAGTATGATTGGACCATAAATCAATCAATCAATTCAATCAATCAATTAGCTTATAAAGCGCTATTTCCGCGATGTTCAACAGCGCTCCTCAATGAATTTTGAAAACAGATGGGTCTTAAGATCCGCTCTGAACTTCGCAAGTGATGGAGAAGTAGTCAGAGAAATAGGTAGAGAGTTCCAGAGAAAAGAATCAGAAAAAGCAAAGGCGTTAGCTAGCAAAAGAGTGTTTAACACGAATTAAGAAGAAGCGAGAAGAAGAAGACGATCGTAAACCGGGGCGTTTAGGTTCAATTAATATATCTGATTAATACTTAGGAAATAATTAAGATTGAGACTTATACATGAACGTGCAAATTTTAAAAATTATTCTATATTTTATAGGTAGCCAGTGCAAGAGAACACTTATTGATTTCATTGGTTCCTATCATATATATATATATATATATATATTATATTCTGGTTTCTATGAAATATATTAAAATGTGAATATAAATAATTGTTTATAAGATAAAAAAAAGCTGTATAAATAGGACGACATACGAAGCGAAGACACGTTTTACAGAAAGTTACGAAGTTTTACGGTTGAAGTTTTGCAAGCGCGGGGTTTTTACAAGTTGGGTTCATCCGTTTACAAGTGTGCGATTATGAAATAACTCATTTTGTAATTACTTGTTGGTATTTCCGCTCGGCTTCTTTAATAAATTCGTATTGGACAATTTATCATTCGAATTGATTCTCTATCGGGTATACGAACTCTGTCGGTTGTAAACAACCCCAGCGAATTTATGACAATATATATATAAAGGTATGTAAACCCAAGAATTCAACTAAACTTTATAATGGAAGAACACACTTGGAAATAGATTGAGCTCTACCGTACCATGTATTTTATTAAGATTTTATCTAATATTTCAGTGAAATAGTTTTTCTATAATAACTGAAATAAGTTTTCTGAGACAGAACATTCTATTATAACTGCGAAATTATAAGTCGATAAGGTTCACAGTTAATATCATTTTAGTTCGTCAACTAAATAGAAGTAAAATCCCTTGGCAAATATTCAATGTTGGCAATCTGTACTACTTTTTCTACCTGTTTTAGTCAATTGCAGGTCCAACCAGACCTTTTCCGCGGATTCCTTGTACAAAATCTTTTAAATAATCGAAAATTTATTTAATTTTTATTTATTTAATTTTATATTTATTTATTCAATTTTCTAAAAATCATTCACTGACAGATAACGTAACGTAACGTAAGATATCATAACATAACTAAGATTTTTTTATAGTGATCCAAGAAGACTTTTTTTTAAATATCCTACTTTTGCCAAGTTTGCTTTAAAGTTATTAGTTGTTTCTACGCATATTATTTCATCACCCAGTTTGTTTCACTCGTTGACAACTCTGCAGTTGAAAAAATGTCGCTGATTCCAAATTCTCCTTCATAGTGATGATTTAGCATCCTGATTCAAATCTCATTTTGTTCTTTTTTTTAATGATGTCAAACCACAAACTTTTAATCTGTCTTAATATGGCATACCGCGACACTCCTTTATCATTCTCGTTGCCCTCCTTTCAATATTCTCGAACATATGTTGTCCTTTTGTAAATCTGGATTCCAAAGCTAAACACAGTACTCCAACTTAGGTCGAACAAATGCTTTATATAGGTCCAACATGACGATCATATATCTGCTTTTTACTCTTCTTTTTATCATACCCAAAGTCCTCTTTGTACTTTTAGTTGCCTCGTTGCATTGCCGTGCTACCTTACCGTTCCGATGAATCATCACCCCTAGATCCTTTTCCTCCTCTACATTTTTTAATGGTGTGTTTCCAAGTTTGTATACGTTTGCCTTGTTGTTCGCTCCCATGTGTATGACTGCATATTTGTTAATATTGGTACTTACTGTTTGCACTTTTCCTCCTCTACATTTTTAGTGGCGTGTCTCCAAGTTTAAATACGTTTGCCTCGTTGTTCGCTCCAATGTGTGTCAGTGCACATTAGTTAGTGTTGAATACCATCTGCCAATCCTCTGCTCAGATCAGTGCCACTCAAAAATTAGCAAATAAAAATATAATAAAATAAAGAAAAGAGACAGAATAATGTTAAGTAGGTACCTTATAGTAAAAATGAGGTACCTATACCTACTATACATACATACCCTACGTATAAAAAATGATATTCAATTGTAATATTGATAGCAACTCCATAATGGGAGCAGTAGCGGATCTAGAAATATATAATGGGATCTAGGATGTATAGGTACCAGGAAACATTCCTTTTTACATCAGTTGCAACATGTAAGAAATTATTTCATTAACAAAAGTTTTTACAGATTTTTGTATAAAAATGAATCCAGGTGACGTTAAAGTCTATAGAAAGTGCATCGCTTTTCAAGTATATTACAATCAATCTAAAGATAGTGGGATTGTATGATTGTAGTTTTAGGAATCCAGTTCTTAATCCAACCAAATGAGTTTAACAAATGAAAATGAATGAACTGGTTACTTCCAAATTTTTCCATTTGGGTACGGCGTGTTTTTTCTCTATTAAATCATTCCAAACTATTTTCTGCAAAGATTTTTGAATCGTTATTTTTAGCTTGATTCACTATAAATTAAAAATAATGTAAAATGAACTAATGTTTTATCGTTGCAGCCATTTAGATGACTATCTATTTTTTCAAAAGTATAATTAAAATTAATGACCATCCAAATTTACTTTGAAAAAGTTGTGGTTTTTGAAGTTTTCAACAGCATTTTCAACGTCTGAGGTTGACATTAACTTGTGGGTTTTCAAAATTGTTAATTAGAATTTATTAAACATTAAAATAAAACCAAGTTTAAAATGTAAAATGAATCAAAATTTTTGAATATTATTATTTCATTTATATAAATTACATAAAATGTTAGGAGGCTAGTAATACAGTATTCTAAAAAATTAATTCTGCCAATATTTCTGAAACAATTTATTAAAATTGAAAGGACGAACTACATACGAATTACCGCCAAAAATTCAATTGAATATATGAAATACTATACTGCATCATTTCGTATGTTGAGAACCTTCTTAATCAAGTCTATCCCACCATCTTCAAATTGGTTGTAGCATGAATTTGAACGGCCACCACTTAAGTCTTCGTAGATCACAAGTTTCAATTTGAGATGGTAAGGTAACAGTGCCTTAGGCTTTTGTTTAATAAAATTAGTTATTTTTAAGTTTGAGCGGGGTGATGGCCTAATGGTCAAAAGCGCCTGGTCCTGTTACGCAGTGACCGCGTTCGAATGCGACAGAGGGTACCTCGTCTATCACATCCTCTGTGTGTGACGCGTGGTTTTTGTTTAGCGCCCATTCATATGAGCCGTCTGTGTTTTAGGAGGGTGTTATTGATACTTTAACTTTAACACTTTTTAAAATGTATTTATAAACTTGAGAAAATTCATTAACATAATTTGAAATTGTTTTATTTTATTTACTAAAATCAAGCTGTAAGAAACACAGAGCAACGGAAAATTCAGATAGAAAATACATGGCACGCATAAATAATGTGGAAAAGACATTTGCTGGAATTAGATTTCAGTTTAATAACATTATTATATTTATATAAAATTATATTAATGCTAGATCTACAAAAACGTTTTTTAGATTATTCAAATTCGAAGCAAACCTCTCCATAAATCATTTCGTACAGACAGCCAGCCAGGCCTTTGAAATCAATGGCAGCAATTTCGGTAAGATCATCTTGGCATTTGCATATTGTGGAATGATCAAAATCGGCCAATATGGCATACCCAGCATCGTCCAAGTAAATGTTTCCTAAATGGAGATCTCTTTGGTTAAATTTGGAGACAAGAAATCAGGAAAATCTCAGGAAAATTATCTCTGAAAGTTGACTATATAAAATTCATTTTTGTCTTTGAGATTTTATTCGCAAGCTGAGTTAAGCTACTTTAATTTTTTCATTGAGAATAAGCAACAAGAACTTGACTCAAATGAAGCCCAGCCAACAAATGAAGACAAAACCCAGAACAAATGAAGTCAAAAACTTTCATTACATTTGAATGAGGAGTGATTAAATCGAAATGTGGTGTATATTCGTCGATGAGATATAGTAAAAAAACTGAACGAGCATAAGATAAAAAATACTAAACTTGGTAATATTGAACAAATTTACCCGTGCACAACATGATGTTGGTGCAGAAACTGAAGACCCAGCAATGCGCACGCCGAACAGAAACTGCTCTTCTCGAAATCAAACTTTTTCTCACGAATTAAGCGATTTTTCAGACTTTGGTTTTTCATGTAGGGTGTTGCGTGAATAACGTGACACTGCGAATAATAAAACTGATAATTTAAAAATTACCTCAATTTATGAAAACGCGGCGACCTCAATGTTTTATGATCTTATTTTGTATCTTTCGGTATGAACGCTCGAAAGATATAGCATAAGAGTTATGGAAAACACCAAAATGGCCATTTTTAAATTTATGAATTGATTAGGAAAATTTAAATGTTTAAACTGGAAGTTTTATGAAGCCTTCAAAATTGATAACGAAGTTACTAGGCGGCAGTCTTTTGAAAGTTTCCAATTCATTATTAGAGGATTTTATACCGCCGTCGTTTCCCATGCAGCACTTTAAAGCGTACAACTTCTCAAATTTCTTTCCTAAAATTATCTAAATTTTTAAAAATAAACCTTTTCTCTTTACAAATCTCTAAATTGTATTGAATAAATGCAAAACTGTAGGCCAACCTTGGAACATTTGTTCGCCTTTATAACGCCTAGAACCACATATTCGCCTATATCCATTTTTGTTTGTTTTGTTATTTAACGTCTGTTATTTTTTATACCAATTTGTAAACGTCATTGTTCGAGATCTTATGTTTAATGAAAATAATTAATATTTTTGTCCATTTAATGTGGTTTTACTTTCTTGCGCTATATTCTTATGATTTAAATGTTCGCATTATATGTAATGTATATAAATTATGCTATATTTTTAGCATTGCTCTTCTGGAAAACTTAAATTTTTTAAATTAGCGTTTTATAAATAGCGAAATATTATTACTAATAATAACAGGATTAAAACAACCGCTATGTTTTGTATGAAATTCTATTGTTTACTAATAAAACTCATCTGCAAATGCAAAATCAATCTATCCCAGGGGTGGGCAAACTTTTTGCTGTGGGGGCCGCATTGAGAACTTTTTTACCTTTGAAGAGCCGCATATGTACTTAAATAGCAAATTTTTTCGACCCGGGGGAGAATTTTTTTAAGATTTGTGGCTCCTTTTTAGGTCCTAATGTCTAGCTGACAACTTTTTTTGGCAAACAAGGCCTCGCCGGCCGCTTAAAATAGGTCGTAGTTTGCCCACTCCTGATTTATGAGAAACTTTGTCTTGTATAATATGCCTAAAGTATGTAACAACATCAAAATACCTAACGACCTGTTTGAAATAACCCCTGTCGGACCAAAAACATGGGCTTTTTTCCTAAATTCAAAAATGTTCCTGCCTGATTTGTTTGATTATTATTATATAATAAAATTTGACAACTTTTATTTTTTCATCTCATTGAATTCTTTCCTAATTAACTGGTTTGCCAGAGTAAGAGGTAATCGTAAGAGTATGAGAATATCGTGAAATAATTGTCACAAAATATTTCGTTTTGCAATAAAAACTATTTTTAACATTAACCTAAACTTTAAAAAATAAATCTAAAAGGCTAAAAACCTCCATCCCTAGAGAGACACAGAAAAAAGTTCGCTGCTTTCAAAGAACAGCGCAACCGCAAGCAAAGGTAAAAATCCAAAGTGGCAGTTTTGGAAGAGGGGCAGTAAGGGCAGTTCAGTCTCGAGTAAATGTTCCTCCGTCACAGAAGACCAAATCAACGACGTAAAATATTGACTAGCTACTTTACGTTTAAAGCAAATGAATTTTTTTTACAGATTCTTGAAGATTTTGAACGTTTTCATCACCAATTAATCGTAATCATATAATTAGGTGAATAAGTTATACGACGCGCGTAAATTGAAAAAAAATGCGTTCACAAACTTGCTATTACATTTAAATTGTATTGAAGTTTGTTAATACCTCTGGGAAATATAATTTTTTGGGGTATTTTTTGGCGGTCAAAAACATTGACGGTATGGGGCTTTCTGAGTTGATTTAAAAATGTTTCACTTGTTTTTCTGTCTGAAATGTTAAAGAATGTTCACATTTGTTTCTGTATTTAACAATTAATTGGTTGATAGGATGGGGTAAGGGGTTTCCATTTAGCTCCTGGATATACACGATGGGGTGACGGCCAATGTACCTGGCATTAACTTTTATCCATTCGAAAATTTTTTCACGAAATCAATTAAAATAACCCCATAAAAAAGTTAAAAGATAAAAATTAAACCATCACCATCACACCCGCAAACATATAAACAGATATTGAACGTGATGAAGATCAACATGGAACAGGTGGTAGAGAGGGAGAAAGAGATAGATGACCTTCATAGTAGGGCAGGTCATGACCTAGACGATGGGGCGGATGATGGTGTAAAATCTGATGTGATTGTTGGTGGTGGAAATTATGCTGCTAGTGGTGGTGGTGTTGGGGGTGGATACGTTGGTGTTGATAAAGTTGGTAATGATTTCAAAGGGCCTTATGGGGTCAGAGGTTAAGATATTTTCATAACTTGAAAAAGTTAATAATTAGCTAAATATAATATTTTAGTAATTTTGTTCTTCTGGTGTAAAAAAACTTTAACTTTATTAACACTTTTTATGGAAAAAAATGACTTAACCAATGACGCAATGGTTCATTCAGTGATGATGCAGAAATCCATCTAACTAGACCATGGATATATATATATATATATATATACACAATATTCTATAAATTCTACCGAATGTTTGGCGTTAATATGTTTGTAGTTCGTTTTTTCAATTTTTCTCACTAAAGTTTTTTGTTGAACGTTTAGTTTATTAAAATTCAAAATAAACTTATTTTCCGAATTCATGCTGCAAATAAGGCCATATTTCGATTCCGAAGGAATCATCATCAGTGCTTTCTGCTGTTTATATAGGGAAATACTGACTTTGTCAAAATGAATTTAGATGGAGATTGACTTTGTCAAAGTGAACTTAGATGGAAATTAGGTGTCAGGTTTCTTTATTGGCTGGTCATCTTCTTTGGTTTCCTTTTTTTCATCGATAGCCTCATATTCTTCTTTGTCACTATTTACAATGCTAGTTTTTATTACTTCTTTGTTTTCGTTGTTGGTTAAGCGCCGGGTTGGAAGTGAGGTTGTCATTTTTTGTTGTATATTTATTTTTGGTTTATTGATGTCAAATAGGACTGCTTCTGCAAGATGCGTGTAGTTGCTGTTCTGGTATATTGTAAAAATTATATATATATATATATATATATATATATATATATATATATTACAATATTCTATAAATTCTACCGAATGTTTGGCGTATATGAGAAAAATCGAAAAAACGAACTACTAACATATTAAGAGAAAAATCGAAAAAACGAACTACAAACATATTAACGCCAAACATTCGGTAGAATTTATAGCAGAATATTGTAAAAATTATGGTCTATTACCAATATATATATATATATATATATATATATATATATATATATATATATATATATATATATATCCCTCTAACTAAACGGCCAGCCAATACAAATTTATTTAAAAAACTTTTTCAACACAGATGATCTTCTGAAGGGAGCTGCCCACTATCACACGACGACCCACAACATACAACAAAAGTACTGGTGGCAGGGTATTAAGGTTGGGTATTTGTGTACCGGGTATCATTTCGTATTGCTTATTATGTATTCTGTATGAGTCTTGGGCGTTGTTTTGTAATGTGTATTCTGTATGAGTCTTGGGTGTTGTTTTGTAATGTGTATTCTGTATAAGATAGTCTTGGGTGTTTTTTCCTGGGTATTTTTATATTTAGAATTTGGTCTAGGGAAGTGGCCGTTCTAGACAACTTCGATGGGGAAGACAAAATTTTGACGGGGGCACGGAGGCCAGCCCCCTATAAATCCGCCACTCGTCTAATTTGTTTAGTATTAAGTATTTTTTTCGGGAATTTGTGTTGGGTATTTTATATTGAGTATTCCCTAGTGAATATTCTGTATTAGGTCTTCTGATACTGGGTCATTCATAGTTAATTCGATACGAATGTTAATAATCTACCAAGTAACACTGTTGAACATTTTTTCATTTTGGTTAATTTGTTATCACGTTTTATAATCTTTGTCGGCATTATCCAATTTTTTTCATGTTTTTTTTTCAAATTTAAATTAATTCCTTTCAGTTTTGGGTCATTGTCGCAGCAATAGTTATTGCAATTATCTTAGTCCTAATTCTGGCAGGTTGGTGAAATTTTTGATTCACATTTTTGTTTAAATCTCATGTTCAGTGATTGAATGATTGAATAATTGATCGGTTGATTGAATAATTGATCGGTTGATTGATTGATTGATTGATTGATTGATTGATTGACTGACTGATTGACTGACTGACTGATTGACTGACTGACTGATTGATCATTCAACACACACAGATATTCATCGATATTGTCGAAATAATGAAATTCGACAGCAAACAGAGTCGCTATTTAAAAAATAACTAAACAATATTAGAATAATTATTGAATAATAGTTAAATGATAATGAAATATTAATTAAATGACAAATTGAAATCCACAACAGCCTACCTCATCTTCCGAAAAGATCTAAACCCAAGACCGCTACAGAGTAATGGTCAATATTTTGGCAACGAAGCGATATTGGTGAATCCAACTTCATTCCACAATCAAGTCCTCATGGACAAAGGTATTTCACGTAACACTTCTAATCACCATCAGCCGTTCCTAAGCAATAGCATCGATGAATTGGACAGTTTCCAGGCTGATGATGACCGCAATATTAAAGGTTTTCCAGTTGATGATGACCACAATGTTAAGAGTCTCCAAACTGATGACGACCGCGGTATTAAAAGGATTAATAATGGTAATAATAATAATACTAATCACGAAAATATGGAATACAATTTTGACTGGGATGATGATGCTGAGTACAACAACAATAAAAATCATTTAAAAAAAATTAATAAGAATAATAACAAAAACAACAACAACAACAATAATAATAATAATAATAACAATAATAATAATAATAATAATAATGATCAAGAAATAAGTAATTATTACACTGATAATAATAATAATAAGCATAATATAAATATTAACAACGTGAACAACAACAATAAGAAAAAACATAAAAATAATAATAAAATTCATAATAAAAGTAAATATGATCACATCAAAATTAAAGCTAACGATGATATATTTTACGACACCAGAGAGAAACATTCGTTTCGAGAACAGCCTTCATCATCTGTGTAATCAAATTTAAATATTCAACAACCACATGTAACTAACTAATTTGAAAACCTAAAGAATTTAACAAACGTGTTTTTCAATAGTTTAGTTTTGGAGATATAGTTTAGATAAGGAGATGTGAGAGCAGGTCTAACTTCATTATTATTTTGGATGTAAAAGATTTGTTTATTTGAAATATTTTTATTAGAAATACATTTTCATAAATCCTGAATTCACTGACGTTTTTAGAAACGCAAAATAAGGAAAAAACATTCAGCCTCGATTTAGTTCAATTGAATTTAGGAAATTAGGCATCTGATTGAACGATCCAAAGTAGAGTTGTAAAGTTGTTCTTATAAGTATTCCCTATTAATCATCGACCTCATTAAAATTCGCAACATAAATTTGCATAAATTAAAATTTGCAACATGGTTGAGAACTGCAAGTCGTGTAGGATTTTACGAAGCCAATTAGTAAACCGCACATCTGATAGCAGGGAACTGAGGAGCAAGGTGTTAATCTTTTTTTATAGTGCACCTTCACTAAATAATGTTTGCTTCTTTTCAATGTTGAAAATTATCTAACCTTTAAAATTTTAAATAAACTTGAAAATAAAATATTCGCTTGCGAGTTAAAACTCTTTCAAATTTCATTCTCTCTACCTTTTGCAAAATAAAATCTAGGTAACATCTATAATTTAACAAACAAACCTCATAGATATAATGAAGATAGATATACTATCTAATTGTTTTTATTTACATAGATAGTTGTGTGGGCATTAAGTAAAACACTGCATGTAAGTTCGTCAACATGCTATCGACCTCTTTAAAACCATGATAAATGCTAATATCAAACTCATTAAGCAGGATGCGATTTTAAAAGCCTCCTAATTGAAAACGACAATATTCTGGTCAATATTCTATTAAAAGCTCTTACTATAAAATTTATGTTATATAAAAATTTAGGTTATTTGGTATTTGTTATCCAAGCCTCAGTAGCTTACAAAATTCATTCCATTCTTAACGATGGAAAAACTGTTAAATCAAGTTAATACAATTTCCTACAAACGAGGACGTTGCGACTCATTGTTTCCAACTCGCCGTTCGTACGACATTCAAAAAGTTCTGAAAGAATCAGAAGCCTGCCAATCTGTAACCGATATTTACTTTGCAGATGAAAGTGCAACTGGGGATGATAAAGGTGAGATATTTTGGCCGTAAACATATAAATTATAAGTGACCTTTTGTCAGATTAGCATCATCATTTTGGTCGTAAAAATATAAATTATGAGGAATCTTTTGTCAGATTAGCATCTTCATTTTGGTTGTAAAAAAATAAATTATAAGGAAGTAACAAGAATTGGCCTGATTGTTAGAACCAAATTGCTATTTTGGCTTTTAAGAATTACTCCCAAATTAGGATCTAATTTTTGGTTTGTATTGCATCGCAGGATTGGCTCGGCGCTTTTCGTGAATTCACTTAATCTATGTTAATGTTGGCAGCAGATTTTAAGCCCTACCAAACTGTTACTCATAATGTTAAAATAAAACCGTGATAATATTACAATATAAAATTATAACGAACGAATGAAAATTTTGATGGTGGATTAAATATTCATAGATAGCGCACATAATTTACCTTCAACAAATTCCACTTAGAAACTTCACTACCATCCCCCACCAAATGCAATGAACATCAGTTTGTCTCAGTTAAGTTTGGCAAAAGCCAGTTCATTTTGTGTAAGAAATTCAAAATAAGCAGGCTCTGGAAACAAGAACGTCATGTCAATGGAGATGGCCGTGAAGATTTACTTTTGACCGAAAAAAACTTGATGAAATCCATTGAGGAATTATCTATGATTGGGTAGGTGCTCAAACATTCGTTGATACGTTTCTAGTTAATTCAGTTTTTTCCAGAAAAATTTATTTCATTTTCGTTATTGGGTTGATTTAATTTGTTTTTGTGTTGTTAAGCACCATAAAACAAATTTGAACATAAAAATATTTTCATTTCAATTTTACTTTTTACTAAAGTGTGAAACATTGCACGGACAGCAAGCGGTCCGTTCTAAATCGTCTCATGTGGTTCATTTTCGTGTTGCTTGCTCTTTCCCTGGCATTCTACCAAATAAAAGACCGTCTGATGTACTACCTGACATACCCTACATCGACAGAATTTGACATCGTGCGTTCTGACATGACACTTCCCCAAGTTACAATTTGCAACCACAATAAAGTTAAGAAATCTTCAGCTGAACGTCTAGGTAAATAGAGTCAACATTTCAATGCGTTCTGAAAAATTATTATATTGTGTTACTAATTGATTCTAAGGTCTGGTGAAGTATTTCGAAAAAATAAGATCTGTCGGCGAAATTGATATTTCAGGCAAATATCCTGAACAGGAATTTGTCAACAACTCGGAACATATTCAGCTAAGAAAATTTTTATCTCCAGGACTTGAAGAGCTGGTGTTTGTTAGTTAGTTTTTAATTTTATTTGTGTTATCATTCTTGTCAACCAGCTGTGTTTAGCCCAAGGCTCTACTTGAGCTAAGCTTTGTCTCCGACCGGATGTCCGACTCTTCTTTATAATCAGGTCATATTTATTTTTCTAAGCTCAACGAACATGCGACTAATATTTAAAAAATCACAAGTGTATTTTTTTAGACTATTTAGGCTGATCCTAGAAGTATTTATGTTTATGCTTCATATGTTCAATTATGTTATATACGTATACATTTCCCAGCGCAAGCTTCTAAAATATTTTGCTGTTTTCTGAAGAATAGTAATTCTATAATAAAAAATTTTTTTATTAATGTTTAAGACAGCAAAAAATATCTGATTATTTAAAAAACTTATCATATAAAGTATAAATCGTCCCCTGGTTCATTCTGACCGCCATTTGGAAAAATATCAAAATTTGTCATTAATATTTCGTCCTTTTTTAAAAATCAAATATCTATTAAAAATCGATTTGGTTTTAAAATGTATTAGTGGATTAAGTCTGAGATAACTTATCAACATAATCAGTGCCTTTGGAATACCCTACCGTGCAGCAATGAAACTCTCAACACAACGTTCACAAATGTTGGACAATGTATTACCGTGAACCCAAGTATGAAAATTAATTGCATTCATTTTTTGTTTGTTCGATTATATGCAAGTAAACTTTGTTGAAATTTAAATTCACTTCTTTATTCACAACAACACTAACGTTCCATCCATTTCTGCCTCGTTTGCATTTAAAACCGTTAACCTAAAACTATTTGCTAGAGCGGCGGCTTAAAATACTTTTTCCCCTCTATAGGTTTTTAGCAAAAAAAGGAATGATGAACAAGGTAAAAAAGTCACTCACTGATAGCACTGAGTTTGAATAATATTTATTATATGAGCAAACTAATGGAGCATAGAAATGGTTCAAAATTTCGCTGCACTGATTAATAAAATAAGTTCACGAAACATCTATAAAATTCATTAACAGGAAAAACAAAAACAAATTCTTTGAACGGACCTGGTGCAACAGCGGGTCTGGTACTGGTTTTGTACGCTAACCGATCTGATTATCTGTTGTACAGGGATTTAGCTTATGGATTCAGTGTAATCATTTTATTCAATCTATGCTCTGTAATCTGCAGCGGCAAATAATGTTTTGTAACCGTTATAAAAGTCTGGATGTAATTTGAGGAAGTTAATTTTTTTGTAAATCATTTTGGTATAGGTCCTTGTTCATGAACCTCAGGAACCACCGCGAATGATGGAACTTGGTTTCAAAGTCAACCTTGATAATGAAGTCAACGTAGTCGTGTCAGTAACAAATGTTTGTAGGAGTTGAAATTATCGCGCGTGTAATTTAGATTTATTTTATAAATAAATTGTTATTAGATAGTTATATGAGATTGAAAAATTATTTATTGGGCTTCTAATAAATTTGGCTACGTCTGAAACTGAACCGGATTCTGGATTTTGGTCTGCGGACGTCAGACAGTTTGAGGTGTTTTTTAAAATGATTACCAACTAGCAAAAGGAAACATAAATTAATCTGTTCTTTATTTTACGTATTTTACATTTTAGCCTGCATTTTAAAATCCATTTATTCTTAACTTGTTTATAAAGCTTTTACAATACGCATATACTTCTTTGAAGATAAGCAGATTGAAACCACCACACGGAATTTGTAACGACCAGCCTGGCTACAACTGCGTCAAATGCCAAATGAGATGCACCACGGAGTACTTTATCAAATTCTGCGGCTGCAGATATATCTACATGGAAGGTTGCATATCATCGTAATTTTTAACTGTACATTCAACCTTAACGGCATTTTTAATTTTAGAGATTGGCAATGAGTCGAAATGTAGTTTCAACGAGGAAATTTCTTGCAATCTGAAAATTTTTGCAGCTCGATATTTTCAGAGGCTAGTTAAAAACGACTGCCACTGTCCACAGATGTGCAGAGAAATAATTTACCAAACATCTGTCACCGGGTCGAAATTCACTTTCACCGATCCAAATTTTTTTAAAAAACAATTTGGCCAATTATTACCAGAGTCAAGGGCGAGAGATTTTCTTTTTCTCCGCGTTTACCTGTCTAGTATGCAGTACACGAAAGTTTCTGCCATCAAGGCCTATTCAGAGATGGTGCTGTTGAGTGACCTGGGCGGAGCTTTGGGACTCCTTCTTGGTTCAACTTTCTTGACGATCGTCGAAATTTTTGAGCTCTTCTGGGATTTTTGCTGTCTGGTTTATGCCAAGAAGAAAAATTTAACAAAATACGGAATATATAAAAATTATTTATCGTGGAACAATATTTGTTTATGATAATATCAACTGATGACATAGGTTTTTTTGCTAATCGCATAATAATGATTTAACTAACAAACTAAATCAAACCTAAACTTTTATAACTAATTTACATGTTATTTTTATATGATTGTCCAAGTAACCGATGTATTATCTTGTAAATGCCCATGAATCGAAGAGAAGCCTACATTGTACGGAAATCTGTGTACTTAATACTTAAACAAGTATCATAATACAAGAAGTAACTTTATAGTTAAGTTATTACAACACGTTTGTGGTTTGTCTTTAAAATTTAACTAAAAAGCGCTAGAACATTAATAAAATTACTGAAATCTATATCAGCCAGCATCATCATTGTGATGTTTCTTTAATTTAAATTCAGATCAGATCGAACCGTGTCAGGCCAGCTGAGAATAATTAAACAACCAATTTTAAGATGTTAAAAAGTCAAAATTAAATATTCCCACATCTGATCTAATAATATTGGTACATTTAATGCTTTATATCAAGATGGAATAAAACAAAAAATAAATTAATGAAAATTTTGAATTGCATCCATCTTGAAGTGACTTTTTACGGCCAATTTCAAAATGAAGACTTATATTCTAACCTTAATCATAGGTGGGTGGGTATATTTTTTTCTGAGGGCTCTCCAGAAATTAATGGGTTATAGAGGGCAGCGTTTCCCTCAACCTATTCTAAAGCAAAATAATGCAAACGCATGACAAATTTTGTCACCTGAATCCAATTTCAGTAATTTTCATTTTAACGAAAAAAAAAATGTATTCGGAAAAATGTATGATATAAGGTTCGTTGAAGTAAAAGATTTTTGATCATCATCAAGAGGAAAAGCCAACACTTTTTAACTCAATTTTGACCTAATTAACCATCATTTTAACTTGATAAATCACGAAAGACGGAATAATTGAAACATGATGCAAGTGAAAGAGCAACCAACTTTTATTTAATTTACAATTTTCGCTTCGGTTAAAGCTCAAAATTTTGAAGCAGCTGTAAAACCAAGCACTCATGGAAACCGTTCGCATTTGATTAAGCCCACTTCATAGAGAGAAAAATTCTTGTAGACGATGGTGTGTTGTTCTCTTATGAAAACCAATCGGTAAATAAAATCCGATGTAATATTATTTATTGAATTAAATATACAAAAAAAATATACATTCAGATTTCAAACTCAATGTTTTATTTGAATAAATTTACAATAAGGAATCAATTCGCATAGTTTTTCAATGGAATAATTTATAAAAAGAAGGGTAGAGAATTATGTTCAATTTTAAATAGCAACATACCTTATTGATAAAAAATTTATCAATAATTTTTTCTAGTCTATTTTTTCTACTTAATCACACAATTACACACTCACTCACACACAGGCACGTACAATTTTTTGTGAAAATATTTACTGTCAGTGGTGAATTCTAGACGAATTTGACGGAAGGAGGCCTTTCAATTCTTCATTGCTGTGAGGCCAAAATAGGCTGAAATTTGATAGGCGACCATTTTTTGGCATATCACCATAATTTCACATCTAAAACGCTGATGTGCTGATCAAAATATAAATAACTTCAACTAAATTTATTTGCTTTTGATAAAAATAACAAACTACTGATTTCCGAAATTGTGTTTTTTTTTTATAATAATTACATATTTACTCATTAAGAAAATGAATTTTTAAAATATTCAATTAAAAAAAACGAAAAGTTAAAAAATGAAATAAAAGAAATAAGAAAAAATGGAATGAAATTAAGTTAGAATTATTTATAATGTCAGCATCTGCGTTACTAAAATGAAACCTGTAATATCTGTATGAGTAAAAAATAATGTTGATGAAGATAATGATGATGATGATGATGAAGATAATGATGATGATGATGATGAAGATAATGATGATGATGATGATGAAGATAATGATGATGATGATGAAGATAATGATGATGATGATGAAGATAATGATGATGATGATGAAGATAATGATGATGATGATGAAGATAATGATGATGATGATGAAGATAATGATGATGAGGATAATGAAGAAAATGATGATGAGGAGGAGGATAATAAATGAAGAAAATGATGATGACGATGATGATGATGATGAGGATGATGAAGAAGAAGATGATGACGATGATGAGGAGGAGAATAATGCTGTAGAAGAAGACGATGGTGATGAAGAATAGGATGATGCTGCTGGTGCTGATGATGATGATATAATTATTACTTCAAAACAAATAGACCCGCAAGTATAAAAATTTTATATTATTAAAAAACTTTCATTAATACTGTAAAAATATGAGAACTGTTATTAATTAATAAATAAATAAATTAATTAATTAATTAATCTGTAGATTAAGCCATCAGTTAATTATTAAGCTAATTAACTGATAACACATTAACAAAAAATGTAACGAAAACTACAGTCGGATCTCGAAAGATGAATTGAAAAGTTACAACAATTGAACTGTTAAAGCTTTCAATCATTCAACCAACCAATCAATTAATCAACCAACCAATCAATTAACCAACCAAACAACCAAACCAATCAACCAATTAAGAATCAACTGACCAGCCAAACAACCAAACCAATCAACCAACTAAGAATCAACTGACCAACCAAACAACCAAATCAATCAACCAATTAAGAATCAACTGACCAACCAAACAACCAAACCAATCAACCAATTAAGAATCAACTGACCAACCAAACAACCAAACCAATCAACCAATTAAGAATCAACTGACCAACCAAACAACCAAACCAATCAACCAATTAAGAATCAACTGACCAACCAAACAATCAAACAAACCAACCAACTAAGAATCAACTGACCAACCAAACAACTAAACCAATCAGCCAGCCAACATATTACAAATTCCTATCAATCATTTGATGAGCAGAGCTCTCAGCAGTCCTGATTGGGACTTCACTATCCCCGCGGTAGCAGGCGATGAGGAGACGGGATTTCGTCTTCAGGATCACACATCCGTCTGGTTCCTCTTCCTCTGCCTCCTTCCCAGTTCCAACACAGTACAAAACGTTGTCTATCATTTTTCCAGGTACGTAGCTAGGAATTGTGTCCGTGTACAAAGATGCGTGAATGTGGGTTGCGTTTTTGTTGATGGTTGTGTGTGTGTGTGTGTCTTTGGATCTTTGTGTGTGTGTGTGTGTGTGTGTGTGTGTGTGCATGATTTGATGCGTGTTTGCGTGTGTGTTTGTGTGTGTGCTCGCAAATGTTTGTAACTTGTATGCGTGCGTGTGTGTGTGTTTTATGTGTGTGTGTTTTGTGTGTGTGTGAATGAGTGATTATGTAAAGTCAACAAATCAACCAATCAAACAACTGACCAATCAACCAGCCAGTCAACTGACCAGCCATCAATCAAACAACCAACTTAGGAGTATCCGATCCAAAGTTTATGAATTTTTCCTCCAGGCCGCTCCTCTTTCCTTTGAAGAAGTTTATCAAGTCTTTGATGGCTGTAAAAATGATGGTGACGAGGGTGGTGATGATGACGATGAGGAGGGTGGTGATGATGACGATGAGGAGGGTGGTGATGATGACGATGAGGAGGGTGGTGATGATGACGATGAGGAGGGTGGTGATGATGACGATGAGGAGGGTGGTGATGATGACGACGAGGATGAAAATTGAGAAAATGATTAGGAAAATGACACTGATAATGATTTCATCAACCAAACAACCATCCAACCATCCAACCGACCAACCAACTAACCGACCGACCGACCAACCAACCAACCAACCAACCAACCGACCAACCAACCAACCAATCCAATCAACCAACCAACCAACCAGCTAACCAACCAACCGACCAACCAACCAACCAACCAGCCATCTAACCAACCGACCAACCGACCAACCAACCAGCCAACCAACCAACCAACCAACAAACCAACCAACCAGCTTACTCGTCTGTTCAATCTCCTGTTCTTCTGGTATCACGGCACTGACAACCCCATCCGAAAAACTGACAATGAAACATAAATTGATGGATGGACACACGGACATCATGTTCTTCAAAATAATGAGGTCACGTGACTGAGGATCTTCTTCCGGTTCCGGTTTGTTGAGCTCGACCTCCTCGAATGTAGATGGCTGGATGGACAGAGTTGATGGTGATGACGATGATGATGGTGATGATGATAACGATGATAAAGTTGGTAACGATGATGATGATGATGATGATAATAATGATGATGACGATTTTAACCTGACAACATTTGAATAACGAAGCTCCCATTTTAAAGCGTTTTTTTTGGGGGTTTTGTGTTTTATCTTTATTTCGCTAAAATATTATTATTATTATTATTACTATTAATTATTATTTTTGTTATTTATTATAATTATTCATTAAATTATTGTTATTATTGTTGTTGCTGTTGCTAATAACGCCAGGTGTTTCTCGTCCTATTACAGTTTGTAACATTCATCTCATGGCCTAGAAGTGATGTTGACGATGGTGATGGTGATGATGACGATGAAGAAAAAAAAAAGATGATAATGATGATGAAGATAATGATGAACATGATGATTATGATTATGCGATAATGATGGTGATAATTACATCATTAAAGACGGCAAAATCAAAACAACTGAAAATCTATACCGAAATTCTTATAATAATATGGTCATTGTTAACTAATTTGTACATAAAACAAACAAATTTAAACTATTACTACAGCTACTTTCGCTATTATTATTATTACTACTACTACTACTACTGCTACTACTACTCTACTACTACTACTAATACGACAACTACTACTACTACTACTGCTACTACTACTACTACTACAACTATTAAAACTACTTGTACTCTTACTACTACCACCACTCTTACCTACTACTACTACTACTACTACTGCTGCTGCTTGCTGCTACTACTACTAGTACTAAAACTACTACTACTACTACTAATACTCCCACCACCACTATTAATAATAATAATAACAATAATAATAAGAATACGAATACGAATGCAAATTGTCATAGCAATATTATCGATGATTCAAAATTCAACAAAAATAAAACAAAAAATACTCTGTATGCAGTGCGCATTATTATTATTATTATTATTATTATTATTATTATTATTATTATTATTATTATTACTAATCCGTTATTCACCAGTATAGCCACTTGTATATAAACACGGATTTATAGATAATTCAATTAAAACTAAATATTGTGTAATATTTTTAATTTTTAAACAATAATTATATAAAAATTATTAACTGTTATAAGCTTGCTTTTAGTTTAAAACATAAACAGTGAATTAAAATATAAACGAATAGTTAGATAACTTAGTTTAACAAAATATTTAAATTAAACACCAACGTCGCATTTAGCAATGCTGAAAGTAAAATTTCATATTCACATCACTATAATAAATGCCCTTTGCTTGTGTTTGTGCACTGTGCATAAGGTTGTATGTATGCATGCGTGTATGTATGTAGGTATGTGTGTATGTATGTATGTGTGTATGTATGTATGTGTGTATGTATGTATGTATGTATGTATGTATGTATGTATGTATGTATGTATGTATGTATGTATGTATGTATGTATGTATGTATGTATGTATGTATGTATGTATGTATGTATGTATGTATGTATGTATGTATGTATGTATGTATGTATGTATGTATGTATGTATGTATGTATGATGTATGTATGTATGTATGTATGTATGTATGTATGTATGTATGTATGTATGTATGTATGTATGTATGTATGCATGTATGTATGTATGTATGTCTGTATGTATGTATGTATGTACGTATGTATGTATGTATGTGTGTACGTGTGTGTTTATGCGTGTGTGTGTCTCTTCAAAACATGATCGTTACAATGTATATATTAATTATTTCAAATATGTATGAATGTATGTATGTATGTATGTATGTATGTATGTATGTATGTATGTATGTATGTATGTATGTATGTATGTATGTATGTATGTATGTATGTATGTATGTATGTATGTATGTATGCATGTATGTATGTATGTATGTCTGTATGTATGTATGTATGTATGTATGTACGTATGTATGTATGTATGAACCCATAATTGATTAGAGCTATAGGGAAGTAATAATCATATCCGGGTTCAGCTTTAATCTGTTAAACGCTTTGCACAGACAGGTATTTTAACGCTCCATCCAAAATACAGAAAGAATTATATTTTTGAAGTAAAATAGAAAAGGATTGTTTTACATAACTCCTATCTAATGGGTCACCAGATACTTCTACAATCCTGCTACAGAGTTCATTCAAAAAACTCTGAGTCTGAGCATCGGTGGACCAAAGGTCTCAATGCAGACTGGCTGAAAAATTTTGCTTTCTGCAGGAGCCGCATATTTTGAATTTTTAAAGTCTGCGGCTCTTAAGGCAGCGGCACCCGCCTCCTGTGAGGTAAGATTAATGTACCTTTCAGCCATGGTGTGAGGGAACGTAACATCCCAAGCAAGGGAACGTCCCTGCGTCCATGGTGAAATAGTGTACCCATCGGGCCTGAGGCTACCTTCCTCCATAAGACCCGTGGGTTTTTTAATTGTGGGTATGTTTGCCCTCCCTCTGAAAGCACCTGACCAAAAAGTCGTTCATGGCCGAGTGTCGAGCCCGTCTACCAGGGCCCAATCGACACGAAAGACCATGGTAGCCCAGGGGTTCCACATTGGCCCCACATAAAAAAACATACTCGGTTAAAATGGGTAAACCGAGTCTCAGTCCAAAACTGACACGAACACAAGAGTCGTCCAGCAATAATAATAATAATAATAATAATACACAATAATAATAATAATAATATACACAATAATAATAATAATAATAATAATATGATGATGATGATGATAATAATATTCATTATCGTCATCGTTCTTATCAACATGCTGATAAGCATTTAAAATCGATACAATGTACGTTTTAATGCAAGTAGCTATGTTAGGTTAGGCAGAGAATATAATTGTTTGGATGGTGTTATTATTAATAAAGATAATATTTTATTATTGTCACAATAAATTTAATCAGAGGAGTAAATCGGATGGTAGTTTTGGGGCTGAAGTTCCCCAACAATAAAAAATTTTTCAGGTTTAAGGATTAAATGATCAAAATCTCTATATAAATTTTTGAAAACTTAGACTGACTATTTCGGCGGGATGTTGTTTTGTTAAAAGTCCTACAAAGAAGTTTAAATTCTAAATTCCTGAAGAGTTTCATGAAAATACGCCACATACTTTACAGAAATAAGACTGCATCCTGGCGTTTATGTCGAAATTTAAGATCTGGCAACCAAATATTCTTTTTTTTTACAGTTCGTCATGACAAAACTAATCACCTCTTTTTTGGTTGATTTTTTTGTTCCAGTCTCGTTGCTTCTGGAAATCCTTTTTGGAAAGGATTGCTGGAGGCATCTTGGCTTTTGCATGAAAAACTGACGGGAAGACGAATCTTTTGTTAATTTGTGGGTTTTCAAATCTGACAACTAACGCCTGGCTGCAGTCAAACCTCTGTGTATCATTTCTGCCTATTGTTCCTGCAATGCTGTTAGAAGTCAAAATTTTGCCGGAATTAAACACCTCCTTGTGTGCAAACAACCTTCCTGTTGGCTCCTTCATTTCCAGTTTCTCGGATCCCAAAAATGTCATCGGGCTATCCGGCCATTTGTAATTTTTAAAATCCGAGGCAGGCGGTGCTTGGATGTACGGATAGTACCAGTCGGAACAGGGGCAGCCTTTGTAGTGATATTCAACAAGTGACACAAGGACTTCACGAATGTATTTCCTTGTTGACCGCGATCTCTTCTCCCTGCAATCTTTCCAGTAGTTGTTAGATTTTTCATCCATTTCTTCCGCGTGAAGTGACCAAAAAACTTTAACTGCCCCCGTCGGATTATTTGTATCATAGTAATTTCCTTTTTTCATAACCGGACTGTTTTGATACATTTTCACTGGAAGTGTGAAAGGTTCAAGTAATTTTCATAATTCTTCTCAGAAGCATCAATCTTTTTTTTCATTTCTTTAGAAATCGTTTGAGACTCAGCAAATAACTCAGGCAATCTAAATCCAGTTAATACATTTAGTCATCAAAGATGTTTTAAATGGTTCAAGGTTGAAATGTCATAGCAGCCAGACAAAAACGAAACCATTTTATATGCAACTTAGCGAGTAAAAAAGAATTGAAAAAACACCTCTATTTACAAAGAATTTTTATACATAAAAATAAAAAAGCAATAACAGTTGCTTGGTGATTAAAAATTCTTATTTAGAGGCGTGTATTTAATAGATTATATATATAATATAATATATATATTTGTTGGTAATAGACCATAATTTTTACAATATGTAATATTTTTACAATATTACAATATAATATATATATTTATAAGTATATATAACCTTATACGTTTTAGTGGTGCCGTTGTGTATGTACACAAAAATTGCCAAGAACTTAATTTAAAGAACCTTTCTTGAAAATTTGAAATTTCAATTTGAATTTTTTTTACTAATTTGAAAATTACGAAGTCTGCAAAACCGCCTTGAAACATAACATCGCCGGTACATCAGCGCCTAAAATATTACCCTCAATCCGATTAAGGTAATTACCAATGGTTTCATCCAACAATATAATTGCGTTTCATGTGAATGTTATTTTGTTAAGTGTTTATATCGCATATAAAGCATATATAACTATATATAACATATAAAAATCTTATATAAGCTTATATAAAGCATATATATAACTCTTTCGTTACCATTAATTCATGCACAACTCAGGATCCCATCACACAAAAATTACATAATTTCTTTATTTGTTAGCGACGAGGTTAATTTTAATTTCAATTTGTACTAACAATGGTTGTATGCTCATCTAGGTAAATGTACACTGCTCGTTAAACTTTTTAGAATTAATTTCGTAAGTATAACAAATTTTCGTTGTCATCAAAGGCCATCATTATTACAATTAATTCTGCTCTATAACTTGGTGATGTAATGAGTAGTAATATAATTATATTTTAAACAAGAATTATTAAATATAATTATATAATAATTAATAATTATATGTTGCGTAAGTAAACGCTACTCTATAGTCTATCTATGTGTAACATAACGTAAACATATAAATAAACATCAATAAATACCTTAAAGATGAGTTGCAAACTTTTTTTACAATCGGTTGAACACAACTCACATTGTAGACGAATGACAAATAAAGTTAATTAATTTAATATTATAGAATATTATAAATATAATATTGAAAATCGAAATATATCCAAAAATAACTTTATTATGAAAAAAAATGTTTCTAAAATAAAATACTCTAGCGACTAAATTTTATAAAATAAATAAACACCTCAGTTTGTTTTTGTTACAGGCTTTATTAGTAGTGAATAAATGTCGCCAAGTGTCGTTAAATTGTTGTGGTCATTAGCCTGGAGCATTTTGTAGCCTGTTCAGGCGAAAATTTTCAAAATTAATTCACATGAGGGCATCGATATTCCAGCAGGCCAACTTACCGATAGATTTTCTTTTTGCCAACTTTTGTAAACCAGTAGAACATTCCCTGTAGAGTGCCAAAGTTACTTACAAAAGTTCAAAATTTCTTAAGAAACTTTCTCGGTAACAATATTTTTATCTTCCATCGCCTACAACAACGTTATCACTATTCACAATCGCAATCTTAAGCAACATCGGCAAGAATCTAATCATCCCAATCATTGTCCCAATCATCATCGTCATTAACACCATCATCATCATCATCATCATCAACATCATCATCATCATTAACATCATCATTAACATCATCATCATTAACATCATCATCATTATTAACATCATCATCATCGCCATCATCACCAAGGGCATCATCATCAACACCAAAAATGGCTCAGGGTAGATGGACAGTGCCCTACATATTTTCCTTCTTCGCCTATCAATACACTCTGTACACACTGTACCTCGGAAGGAACCTACCTGGCGTTTGTACCTCTGCCGGCATCGTATGTCTGGCTTGTTTAACGGCAGCCAACATGATTTTCATGAAAATTCTCTTCTCAAATTGGAAGTACTCCATTGCGTGGAAATGCATCGCATTGCTGCTCATGCTACTGGCCGGTTGGTTTCTTGTTTATTTGGAAAATATCTTGGCTAATAGCACATAATGTGATGGATATTTTTATTTTATAATCAATTGCTAATGTTTGTTTCACCTCCCTTGGTTCTTACAAACAAATTATAGATTTCTATATAGTAATTATGGATTTTGCCGGATCTAGACAACTTTGATTGGGGCCAAAATTTTGAAAGTGTTTAAATTTTGAAAGAGTTTAAAAAATTTTGAAATTGTTTAAACTTTGAAATTGTTTAAATTTTGAAATTGTTTGAATTTTGAAATTGTTTAAAATTTTAAAATTGTTTAAATTTTGAAATTATTTAAATTTTGACGGGAAGAGGCCAAAAAATGACTTTTACTGATTTTTAATTAAAAACTGCACACAACGGGCGGGGCACTGGCCTTCTTAGATCCGCCAAAGCAGAAGTCTTTATGTGACAAATACACAAGGATGGAAAAAAGTTTATGATTTGAATAATGCTCTTTTAATTAACTTTCTTGAGAAAAAAATAAAATTTTTATTATTAGCGATTATATAAATGTTGTTAATAATAATGGTATATTATAAAAATACTATAAATATACGTAAAATGACTCGGCATGTACAACACTCGCAGCCTTCATGTGTGGAGTCATCATGTTCCACATTCCTCGATCCGTGATGCACCTTCCATTGTTTGGGGATCAACTCGTTGTTGCACTCCTGTCTATTTCCTGCTCTGTGCTACAAATTTTCTTCATCAACCTAACCGATGAAGATGATTGATTGGTTCACTGATTTGTATCTGTTGGCCGGTTGATAAGTTGATTGATTGGCTGATAGATAGATAGATTGATTGGTTAACTGAATGACTGATTGATAATGCTTGGTTGACTGGTTTATCGAATGATTGATTATGTTTGGTCGATTGATTGATTGATTGATTAAATGATTGATTGATTGAATAATTTATTAAATTCATTTATTTGTTGATTTTAGTTTGATTGCATGGTTGATTAGCTGGTTGATTATTACTTGATTTTATAACTGGTTGATAGATTGCATCATTCAAATCTGGATATACCTTTCGTTAATTTGTTAATTTTACATTTTGTCAAACTTTTAGCATCTAATTTCATGCGTCTAACTATATTAGGAACGTTTAAAGTAACGATTGAATTTACATTTCACAATCACGAGTTTTATTTAACGGTTGCCCGTGTTAAATTAATTTAATATCATCAACCTCAACGCTACACTCTCTTTCTCTCTTTTTCATCCATCATTTCTTTTTCTCTCTTCTCTAACACTCCCTTATACACACGCACACACACAGACACACACACACACACATATATATATATATAATATATATATATATATATACACAGATATATGTATATACACACAACGTATAGTATTTATTCTATATATTAATACTATAAGCATGCTCTCTATTGTTACAAAGTCGAGTCAAACGCGATTCTAAAGAGGATGATGTGATGTACCGGTGAAAAAATTCTGGATTATCTACACACATTCTCACGTGAAAATGAAATTTCTCGATATTTATTTTAAAATATAAATATTGAATTGAATTAATAGAATATTAATAAATATTATTTCGGAGGTGATTGTTTAAATAGTTCTGTTTTGTATCTAAACTTTCTGTATAAAAATTTGAACGTTGGTGACTAAACTGTAAAAAATTTACGAATTCGCCTATGAATTTTTCCCAATTTTGTCATAACCCAAGCAAAATTCTCCCTAACTTTTGCCTCTGAGATAATTCAATAACTTTAATAAATAAATTGAACAAATATAAGCTATAAAACCTAATTAGAAATATCCGTTTGATTATTTAAATTGATTAAATAAATAAATTAATTAACTGAATAAATTCGACAAGTCAACTAGACCTAAAGGATGATAAATTCTTCAACATAACATATAATTTTAGCTGATTTCATCACACGATAAACTGATAATTTATATTAAATAGTAGAGTTATAATCAGGGATTGCTATACTAATACCTGTATACATTTTTATTCATACTGTACAAAAGATGGGTGGCGGGATTTTTAAATGCTGCAAGGTGAGTCGAGTCTTATTTAATAGCTCCAAATATATTTGTTATTTCGCTTATTTGGTAGTCAATTGTTATCTATTACTTCTTAAATTAGTTATTTATCAACACACCACACACATACACCACCACACACAAACACACACTCTCACACTCACACACACTCAGACAAACACACACAAACACACACACACACGCAAGCATAATGCGTATGATGAAGTGTTTGCCGATATGTTTGTAAGTAAACCAACGCGAGCAGAAATAGTTTTTGTATTTTTTATTTTAGAATTATTTTAATAAAACTTTTTAAGTATGGAAATATTTAAATATTTTAGGATTATTTTAAATATCTTAGGATTATTTTAATAAAACTTTTCAAATATAGAAATATTTTTTTAACTTTAACAACGTTTAAGGATGCAGTTGGGTTCGAGGTGATAGATTCCGATGGCGAAGAAGACCCCTACGCAAGGGACATCATCATACTGAGGAACATGATGAATGGGGCCCCGTCCATATTTCTGGCCGTGACAATCAGCTACCCTGATGGCAAGGTCAGGGCCGTTGTTCCAGAAGGACAAAGTTTAGATAGCACGTGTTAGTGTGGGATGGAGTTGGCGGTGATTGGTGTGTGTGTGTGTTCGTGTGTTTGTTTGTTCGTGTGTGTAATTGTGTGTGTTTGTGAGTATGTGTGGTCTATGTCACAAGATGTCATAAGAAGAGTTTTATAATTCAAAAAGCGAAGGTTGATGTAAACATTAATTTTTCCAAATTTATCCTCATCTTCATCATCATCTCCATCATCATCATCATCTCCATCATCATTCTCATCATCATCATTATTATCATTTCCATCATCATCATCATCATTCTCATCATCATTATCATCATCTCACTCATCTTCATCCGAGCCAGAATTTTTTGGCGTCATCGTCTTAACCTTATCATTTGAATAATCACACTCAAAATAACAATAATAGTAACAACAATACTAATAATATTAATCATAATAATAATCCTAACCTTCATCATCATCCTTATTTTAACACTTTAGCGTGCAATTAAATTATAATTAAGCTGTAACATCCGCGTAAAACTTAATAACCAGTATTGCAATCAAGTTAGGAATTAGTAGCTGTGAAAATGTATGAACACATACACACACACACTCACGCACAGGCACACACATAAACACACACAGGCGCATACACACAAACACACACACACGCACACACACATAAACACACACACACGCACACACACATAAACACACACACGCACACGCACGCACAGGTACACACACGCATACTCCTTCATTAATTTGTAAGTACACGTATTCAGAAAATTCATTTACAATGTTATTTCGACATAAATGAATTCTTTTCAGTGAAGATTTGAGATTATTTTTTTAGATTGTCATATAATTTATCTTCTGAGGTATCAACAAACTGCAACAACAGACACACACACACACACACAAAGAGAGAAACACAAACACAGAGAGAGAGGGAGAGAGAGAGAGAGAAACACAAACACACACACACAAAGAGAGAAACACAAACACACACACAGAGAGAGAGAGAGAGAGAGAGAGAGAGAGAGAGAGAGAGAGAGAAACACAAACACACACACACACACATACTTACACACTCAACTCTAGGCATCAAGGACATTGTGAATTTTTTCAAGGGTAAAACAGGGGGTTTGGCGGAAAGGTTCGTCAATTTGGGCCCTGGACTACCAAGGTCGGGTGGGGTTCTTTCAAATTTTCAAAAAAATTTTTTTTCACAAGTTTGTCCATTCATTCGTTTAACTGAATTATTCACTCATTCATTCAGTCAGTGAATCAACCAATCAGTGAATCAAACAACCAACTAATCAACCAACCAACCAATCAACTAACTAATAACTAATCAACAGACCAATCAGCCAACCAACCAATAAATCTGTTAACTTTCTAATCAATCAATCAATCAACCAACCAACTATCCAGCAAATTATTCAACCAATCAACCAAAGAGCCAACTAATCAACCAACCAACCAGTCAACCAACTAATAAATCAGTTAACTTTCTAATCAATCAATCAATCAATTAATCAACCAATCAATCAATCAATCAATGAACCAGGTACATTCCCGGCAAGATGATTGACAACGCGGTTTTGTTCTGTTCCGGTCTAAGTGAGAAGCAGTCTGAGGGATGCGTGATCCTGAAAACGAGATCCTGCCTGCTGGTCGTCTGCTACAGTGGGGATAGTGAAATGTCGGTCAGGATAGCACAGGAAACAGTTCACAGGATGATGGATTGTGATCTCTGATTGGTGAATGAGTGGATGGATGGATGGTTGAGGAGTTGAATGAATGAATGAGTGCATGCAGGATGGATGGATAGATGGATAGTTGAGGAGTTGAATGAATGAATGGATGGATGGTTGAGGAGTTGAATGAATGAATGGATGGATGGATGGTTGAGGAGTTGAATGAATGAATGAATGAAAGATAGGTAGTGGATGAATAAGTGAGTTAACGAATGAATGACTGAGTGTGTGATTAATTAAGTAAATTTACGTTTTTTGCCGACCATATTCGATCTGTAATTGATCTCTGATGAATGAATGGAAAGATGGTGAAAGTAAGAATGAATTACAATAAAAATGAGTGAATAATTAAATAAATAAATGTATAAATGTTGAACAGAATGAATGAACGAACGAACGAATGAATGAATGAATGTAGACATGTAATGTAGACATTATACAAACCTACACAGCAAAAAAATCTAAAAATTTCTGCAGAACTTCAGCTAATAAATAAAAGAATGAAATGAATGGAAGAATGAATTAATAAGTTATATATATATATATATAATTATATATATATATAATTATATATATATAATTATATATATATAATTATATATATTATAGAGAGTGAGTGAGTGAGTGAGTGAGTGAGTGAGTGAGTGAGTGAGTGAGTGAGAGTTCTACGAATTTTCTCATTCACCAAACTTATCTGTTTTTTATCTAATGCAAATTGACAATGTCAGCTACGTATTCATTTCATTGCCTGTTTTATTCAAAATCTTATTAGTTCATTTTCTTCTTTTGTTTAAAAATTTATTTATTTTTGGTCTCTTGTTGTATCCTCATTCATTCGTTCAACAATCCAGTCAACAATTCAGTCAACATTTTATTCATTCATTCATCCATCTATTCATTCATCCATTCATTCATTCATTCATTCATTCATTCATTCATTCATTCATTCATTCATTCATTCATTCATTCATTCAGTCAGTTTATAACATTGTAATTCATTTATGAAAAACACAACAAGATGAAAAATCACATATTTATTTTCTTAATTCAAGAGAGAAAACAAAGCTGTTGGTTCAGATTTTGTATAAATTCGCTTTATTCTTTACAGGTAAGTGGCGAATGTGACATTTTTTGCTCAGTTTATTTGTTTAATTAACTCAAATTACTTGCCGAAATGGTGAAAAAAGATTGAAAGATGATGATGGTGGTGATGAAAATGACGATGGTGGTGACGATACCTGATCATGATGAAGATGATAGATGAATATATGATGATGATGAAGATGATAGATGAATATATGATTATAACAACCATAAACAGAATAGAATAAAATTAATAAAGAAAACTAACAAATAAAAAAATATAACCCAAAATATGTTTACTCGAAATAAGTTTTTTTCGGCCTAGTTGGAGACCATCCTTAGGTGTTACATGGATGTGCCCTATCTCTAGGTACATGGTATAACAGTAGGGGGGGGGATTGTGTACACCCTATACACCCTACCAAGGTAGGTAATATTAATTCTAAGTGGGCAGTTTAAAATAGACAGATAAAAATTTGAGAATTAATGTTTCACTGAAATGTAAATAATTGTCAAATGTAATGTCTCACAAAATGTTCTCCATTAAAAATGAGTATTCCAAATAAAAAATCAAATCCCATCCAAGTTTTTTTTATATGAAATTTAACTTTTTCCCCGCTGTACAAAGCTATTTTTGTGTTGAAAATAAGGTTGATTCTAAGCACTATATGGAAAGATGCATATGTTACGTAACAATTAGGAGGGTGTGGGTATGGAAATGTCTCAGAGAGTTTAGGGGGCATGGCAAACACCGCTCTGGCCTTACCAAAAATTATTGTTGGGGCCAGTGACGGTTGTGACGTAAGAACATTTTTGAAAATAAGTCACTTGGAGTTGTAAGCTTTTTTTTATATAAAAATGTACAAGTTTTTTACCAAAGGCATAATTCCCACTTTTCCAATAGTTTCATTTATTGATATATATAATTATATATCATATATCAATACTACACGATAATTCCCTACAGGATATATGGTACATTCAATTTGATATCACAAAGTTTTGAGGATATCTAGATACAGATACATACATAATTATTTGCCTACCTAAAAACATTAATGCATGCATACCCTGAAATATATCATACATGGTTAACTTTGATATTTATAAATATGATATACAACGTATCATTTATTGTTATGATAATCAAGGAGAGGTTGACATTCAGTGTAGTTTTGTGTAGTGCTTTTGCTTGTGTGTGTGTGTGTGTGTGTGTGTGACTGTGTGTGAGATGTGTGTGTCTGTGTAATTGTGTTTTGTTATTTATGTTTATCAAAATAAAATTATTAAATGAAAACCAGTCCGCACTAGTGTCAGAAAATTGAACTAAACATTTTTTTCTCATGGAAAATTTTACGATGAGAAGATGTTGATGATGGTAAAGATGACAAGGATGAAGCTGATAAAGGAGCTGAAGATGAAGACGATGATGAAGAAGATGATGGTGGTGAAGATGATGAAAAAGTTGTTAGTGATGATGATGAAGAAGAAGCTGATGACGACGATGATGATGGTGAAGATGAAAAAGACGATGAAGTAGAAGATGAGGACGATGATGATCAATCATTCATTCATTCAATCATTCATACATTCATTCATTCATCCATTCATTCATCCATCCATTCATTCATTCATCCATTCATTCATTTAGTTTTTGTTGGCAGACGGCGTTTATCCATTCTTTTTAACCATTTATATACAAATTATGCTCTCTGTTAATCGATCTAATCTAATTTGTGAGAAAAATTACTGTTAGAAATTACTCGAAGTTTTTAGTGCTTTGTTCTAAGTTGTTCAAGCTTCAAATTATTTATTAGCTTGTTCATTCATTCTCTGGTTTGGCTGTTAACTCCATCACTTTCATTCCATTTATTCATTCGTTCCGTTCGTTCCTTCGGTCATTCATTCAGTCGTTCATTCATTCATTCATTTATTCATTCATTCATTCGTCCGTCCGTTTGTCCGTCCATTCATCCATCCATCCACCTATCCATCCATCCATCCACCTATCCATCCATCCATCCATCCACCTATCCGTCCATTCATGCATTCATCCATGCATTCATCCATCCATCCATTCATCCATCCATCCATTCATTCAGCAGTCCATTTCGAGTCGGTTGATAGTTCTTCGGGTGTAATCCAAACTGTTGCCCGAGTTCTCAGGAAGGTCGTTGCCTGCGTTGTCAGCTACTCCATCATCATCATCATCTCCCCTGCTCACCTGGTGGTGGTGGTGGTGGTGGTGTTAATTGTGGTGGTGGTCATGGTGATGATGATGATGGTGATTATGATAGTAATGATGATAATGATGATAGAAATGATGATGATAAGGATGATGATGAGGATTGTGGTGGTGATGATGATTGTGTGGATGACACAAGTAAACCAAAAAAACTCAAACAGACCCCATTGTAATTAGAATTAAAATGGGTCCCATTGACAAACTCTTGCCCCTTGCGACCTTGACCTTTCCAACAACAAAGGGCCCTTTTCCGGCAATATAAGAGAAGAATTATGATGAGCGCTAGAAGTAAGAGGAGACCCCCACCAAGACCCAGCCCTAACCCGAGCCCCAGTTTGCAGGGTCTTGGACATGATTCGGCTGACACTTGCACTTGTGGTGGTGATGGGATTGTTGATGGTGGTGAAATTATGTGGTGGGTTATGAATTCGTCGTCATCATCATCATCACTTCCATAATCATATTCATCAACTGCGACACCACTATCACCATCATTATCATAATCGCATCGCCCGTCATCACCATCATCATCAACAACCATATCATCATCACTACTATCATCATCATCAACAACCAACTCATCACCACCACAATCATCATCATCAACTATATCACCATCACTATCATCATCATCGTCGTCGTCGTCATCATCATCATCACCACGGTCACACCTGGATAGCATTGGGACCAGACATATGAGCCCGCTGGCGAGTTGTGGTTAGGAGGGCAGGGTTGACACGAGTCGCTAGACTGAATAATTTTTAATTAATTTCTTTATTTGTCCACTGATTCACTCACTCGCTCATCACTCATCCATTCATTTATTCACCCATATATTCATTTATTCACTCACTCAATCATCTATTCGTTTGTTCATTCGTTCATTCATTCATTCATTCATTCATTCATTCATTCATTTATTCATTCATTCATTTATTCATTCATTTATTCATTCATTCATTCATTCATTCATTCATTCATTCATTCATTCATTCATTCATTCATTCATTCATTCATTCATTCATTCATTCATTCATTTATTCATTCATTCATTTATTCATTCATTCATTCATTCATTTATTCATTCATTTATTCATTCATTTATTCATTCATTCATTCCTTCTCCCTACAAACATCTTCCGGGTTGAACGTCCCCTCGGGGCAATCAATGCATCTGTCGACAGCCTGCATTGATCCGGGCGGGCAGTGAACTAGGTAAGTGAGTGAATAAATGCATGAATGAATGAACGAATGAATGAATAAATGAATGAACAAACGAACGAACGAATGAATGAGTGAAATAATATATTCAAAAATTCAATAACAAATTTGGTAAAAAATTATTCAGCTTCAAACGAATGAACAAAAGAGCAATCCTGAAAATTACCATCGTAAAACACATTACTATCACCATAGCCACCGTCAGGATCATCATCATCAACAACCACACCATCATCATCACCACCATCATCACCATCATCATCATCATCATCATCAACTGCATCATCACCATCATCGTCAACTACATCATCATCAGCGTCATCATCACCAACTACATCATCATCACCACCGACAACGTGACCACTACCATTATCACCAGCCACACCACCATCACCACCAACCACAGTTATCATTCCTCTCAACTTCTCCGGGTTCACATCCGTAAGAGAAACTCAATCCATTTCCGTATGTGAGGTCGAAAACGTTCTGCACTCCGTCTTTAGCGTTGCTGACCAGAATGTTTGTGAAGCCCCTGTGGAGGTCCAGAATGACGTTCGTCATCGCTTGGTTCATGCTCACTTGAGAGGCATTTCTATTTTCCGGTCTGTTGAGATTCGTCAAAAATTGCTGCTAAAAAGTTTTTTAAACTCGTGTGTGGGGCGTTGGTTTGGTGGCAAATATGCCGGGCGGGTCTGGAAGATTTGTGATAAATTGCTTTAAAAAAGCTTCTAGATGTGTTTCGCGTTGGTTTATTGTTGGTTAAGGTGCTTGGCTGGCACTCTTTGCGAGATGTTTTTTTTAATCGAACGAACTACACACACACCACTAACTTTACAGATTCAAGCAGTTGGTACATCAGACGGACATCATAATCGTGCCCACTCGTCTGCCTCTTCTTTCTTTTCCACGTCTCTCTTGTCTTCCTCTTCACTCTTCTCTCACTCCTCTTCTGGAAGGTTTTCACGTTCTTACTGCAGCCTTGGATCTTCAACCTCTTCTTCAATCCGACTGAGTAGAAGGTGTTCTTGTAGAGACCGCCATTCCAGTTGAGGGTGAAGTCCTGATCAATGGCTTCTCTGCATTTGTCTGTCAGGTAGACATCCTGAGTTCCCACGAGGGTCTTTGGAGTAACTCCTGAATTGAGTTAGTAGAATAATGCTATCTGGATGACAAAACGATTGAGCTAGTGAGGAATTAAGAAGATAATCTTAAATCTAACTAACTCACTAAACAAACATTTGTCCAAACTTTAAGCAATGAAAGCAAGTCACAAATCTCTCAAGCAGGCTAACAACGAATCAGAGACCACTGATCGAACTTTTCAGCCAATCAGAATCCAAGGACTTTAGCCAATCAGGAACCAATGACCTTGGCCAATCAGGAACAATCAACAAATAACTCAGCCAACCAGGAACTAACTTAAACATTGATATCTCTCCACGCTGGTATCCATCTCGGGAATCCACGCTCCATCATAACAGTAGTATTCAGACGTCCCATTCACTGAGTATCCCTCGTTGCAGACAGTCGAACATTTCAGAACCGGATTTGTATCCGTGGGAGTGGGGATTGCGAGGGATAGGTTGGTGTTAAGATCGGACGAGTTTGCGTTCAGATATCTGCAGTTGTAGTGGCCATTAATGATGACTCTGATGAAGCAGGCTTTGATTTTTGGCGTGGTCTGTTTATCGGCTGGAATGAAATCTGATGTGTGGTTGGTTGGTTGGCTATTTGGTTGGATGGTTGGTTGGATGGTTGGTTGGATGGTTGGTTGGATGGTTGGTTGAATGGTTGGTTGGTTGGATGGTTGGCTGAACTTCGTAAGTGATGGAAAAGTAGTCAGAGAAGGAAGGAATTATAAACTTATAATTATAAATTATTTATTTATCGATAAAAATTGTTTATTCATCCATTTATAATTTTCCGTCATTTGTTTGTTCGTTCGTTCCTTCATTCATTTATTCATTCATTCATTCATTCATTCATTCATTCATTCATTCATTCATTCATTCATTCATTCATTCATTCATTCATTCATTCATTCATTCATTCATTCATTCATTCATTCATTCATTCATTCATTCATTCATTCATTCATTCATTCATTCATTCATTCATTCATTCATTCATTCATTCATTCATTCATTCATTCATTCATTCATTCATTCATTCATTCATTCATTCATTCATTCATTCATTCATTCATTCATCAATCCATCCATCTATCCACTGAAGAACGTCTACTAACCAGACATCTTATTGACTTTAACTTCGAAGGAGCACGAAGACTTGGATTCTGATGTGTCGGCCACAATGTAGTCAACGCGGGTGGACCCGACCTTAAAAGAGGAACCCCAGGCTGGGTTAGAGGTCGGAGGGGTAAACTCCACATTTTCCCTGATCTGTAGATGGAAAGATGGATGGATGGATGGATGGATAGATGGATGGATGGAAGGATGTATGGATGGATGAACAGATAGATAGATAGATGGATGGATGAATGGATAGATAGATAGATGGATGGGTGTATGGATGAATGGATAGATAGTTAGATGGATAGATAGTTAGATGGATGAATGTATAGATATGGTTCATGAATATTGATTAGATACCTTTGGTGGTGCCCATCTGACGTCATCAACAAGATTGTCATACGTGCTCAGTACAACATCAGCTGGACATTCAATAGTGGGCGGAGTTTTGTCTGCATAAATTATTACAATTAATAATAAGAAGTAAATAAATTTAAAAAGTAAGACGACAGTTAAGGTAATTTCAATCAGTAAATTTGATCAAAATCATTGATGCCAGTTCAATATTTTATCTTTTTATAATTTTTTATTAATCTACAATTTAGTGAATATTAATTTTATTTAAATAAAATATTTATTCAGTTATTTATTTATATATGGAATTTAATTTATAAAATTAAAAAACCTATCGAAAGTTGATAAAATTAATTTCAAACACGTTGAAACAATTAAATAATTAAAATAATAAAAACCTACGAGACGTGTCGAATTATTTCCAAATTAATTTGAATATTTCAATTTAAAGAGAGAGACCATTTTTTCAGAAAATTTTTAAATTTGATATAGCAACTCGTTTTGCCTGAGAAGTAAGTCATTTATATGAATAGTGAGGAGTGTTTTAATGGGAATGTGTCTTTCAGTGGATTCAGTCGACAATTTTAAAATCAAGCTAGGCGAGCTAGGACACTAAGACGTTAATTTTCATAGCGGTCTTTACACAGATGCTAGTCTACTGAACCACATTAAACTTTGTTATGTTACGCTATGCTAAGTCAAAATTTCAAATATTCACTCATCATTTCAAGCTCACTTGACGATGAAGACAATGATGATGTTGAAATCAGTGTTAGTTGAGATGAAAATGAGGGTATGAAAAAACAAAAGTGATAATCATCATCATCGTCGTCATCATCATCATCACTACCATCATCGTCATCATCATCATCAACAACAACATCACTACCATCATCGTCATGATAACCGACCAACGAGCTTCACTGTATATTGACACGTAGCACTCGCAGTCGGAATGACTTGACCATTTGCGATCACCTCCGAAACACTGGCTGTTAAGATCACCTGAGTTTGGTTGATTAGTAGTAGCAGCAGCAGTAGTAGTAGTAGTAGTAGTAGTAGTAGTAGTAGTAGTAGTAGTAGTAGTAGTAGTAGTAGTAGTATTAGTAATAGTAATAGTACTAGTAGTAGAAGTAGTAGTAGCAGTAGTAGTAGAAGCAGTAGTAGTAGTAGTAGCAGCAGTAGTAGCAGCAGTAGTAGCAGTAGTAGCAGCAGCAGTTGTAGTAGCAGTAGTAGTAATAGTAACAGAAGCACTTGTAGTAGTAGCAGTAGTAGCAGAAGTAGCAGTAGTAGTAGCAGTAGTAGTAGTAGTAGTAGTAGTAACAGCAACAGAAGTACCAACAATGGAAATAGTAATAGCAGAACTTTTGCATTTCTAAAATTAATAACATTATTAAAAGTAATTGAAGTTGTAGCGGAAAAATCGTTGTATTCCTCATTAAGATTACTAATATTTTTTCTCAAAGAGCCATGTTTAACATTTGAAAACTACTGGAAAGATCGCAGGGAAAGGAGATCGCAGTCAACAGTGAATACCATTCGTGAAGTCCTCGCGTCACTTGTTGAGTATCACTATATTTCAATTCTTACTAAGTGTTAAAGATCGGGTTTTTGGGAGGTCGATGGTCGCTAATGTCCTTGAAAAGATAAGGCACGAGAAAGAAAAAAAAAAAAAATAAAGAAAGAAAGAAAGAAAGAAAGAAAGAAAGAAAGAAAAGAAAAGGAACAAGGAAAGAAAGATGTTTAACATCAAAGAAATACATCTCTGAATTAATTCCACCAAACCTTATATAACTGCCCTCCCGGGTCAACACCCCCCTGCCACTGCATGATGACCCCAGGCGGGTCACGGACGATTTGAACGTCGCGGCCCATTCCGGTACAGTCTTCAGCCACGCCGACAAAGTCGTCGTTCGTGAAGTTGCCATTTGGCGGTAGGATGAGTTGGAGCTGGGATGGTTTTGGGGAAATATTTCGCGGCTATTTATTTTGTTTTTATTGCTAGTTTTGTTTATTATTATTATCGTTATTGAAATCATCATTTTCATGACTTCGTTATCACCATCATCATCAGCAGCAGCAACACAAACATCATTATCATCATCACCACCATCATCACCATCATCATCGACAACAACACAGACATCATTTACCATCACCACTATCATCATCATCAACAACCATCATCATCACCACTATCACCATCATCAACAATAACAACAACCACCACACAACCATCATCATCACCATCATCATCACCATCCTCATCATCAGCAGCACAACCAGCATCA